AGGAGGCGCATCCCTACGTCAGGTAGGGCACTGGCTTGTCTTTTTTTTTTATTTATTGACGTGGTGACGTCGTTTAGCTGATGAATAAATCATAGATTTTAAACCCCCGAGGCCCCCCCCGCCCCCCCCCCCATGGCTACATTTCAAGCCTCAAATTCGTTCAATCGAACCATATAACTGCTAATATAAGACGTTTATTGGTAAATATATGCACACATAAATTATATGAGCATATAGAAAAAAAAGACATAAATTTCGTTTACTGTCGTCTCTGTACGGCCGTGTGTGTTTTTGCGCATCATTGCTGTAGACAAGGTTGCCGTGGAAGCCGCAGACGCTTGTCAAAAATGGCCAACCTAAAATGAAAAAAACATTTGACAAACGGGTAACTCAGCCAATAAAAGCCAGTATTGAAAGGCTAATAGACGAATCAGATCAATTAGGAGGCGGGGCTAACGCAATCCAAGTGCTGGACGACAGGACTTTAGAGGGTAACTGCAATCACAAAAGTCTCAAAATCATACTGGCTGCCAACGTGTTCGGTGTTTTTGTTTTATTTATTTAACTTTGGCGTAGTCATGTTGGCACGCCGATGTTCCCAAGGCTACTTTCTGCTTTATGCATTTTAATGTTTCCTAATATAGACAAAGGATTTCACAGAGCTTTCACCGTGCTTTTGGTAAGTCCGTATGCGCAGCTATGAAGTGCCTAATCAAATGGTTTAAAAAATCGCATTGTCTCTGCTCTTAAAGCAGCCTTTCGGATCTAGTGGTAACGATGCATTGTTTGTTATTCCACATTAGCGGTCATTTAGTTGTATTGAATGTTGTTACCGCACGAGTCTTGCTTGCGAGGGATGTAGGGCAGGAGGGAGGCTGTACTGTCACTGCACGAGCCACTGGGAGCTAGCAATATCCCAATTTAGTCATATTTAACCGATTTTAACTACATGTCTGTATTGGATTATTCATGCATTTATTGTAAGATAAGGCCATTATAAATGGGTGCAGTGATGCTTCAACCTAAAGTCAAACTGTGTCCACAGAAATTATGGAAGACCATTATTGGCACGTGCTGTGTACAGTTTAGTACAGATTAGTTTAAACACAAGAGGTTGTATGATGTGTGGTATGCGTGCCGTTTATGTCCACATTTGGGCACGATGGCAAATACTGTTTAACGAATGAAGTCGTGATGAAACCTTAATGATCTGTTAGCTATGGCCATTGTTATGAACTTCAAATATGTAGACAGTGGTCAAACAGCAGTTCATCTTTCAATTTTCACAATGTCGTTTCTTTCACACCCAGCAAGATGCGCACATGTGCTGGCAGAGAAAGACTGCAACCTAAAGCCCCACAAGGCCTGGCCTGTCTCTTGGATGAATCTTCTCTTTATAACCGTCTGAAATGCCTTGACCTAACTGCCACCATAAAATGGCAGGATTAGTCTCCTTTGTGGGTTTGCTGGCAATGGTCAAGACCCACATGGATGCCCGTGGCCCTGGCGCAGTGGTTCTGGGGATGATCCTGTTGATAAACATGATAGCAGCGGACTCACCTGTTGCAGGTAAGGGAACACCTGTCTCTAAGGTGCATCAAATATATCTATCGAGGTGCTCTTGAGCAAGGCAGTTGATCCCCCGCCAGCTCAAGAGGTGCACCACTTTCACTCTGTCATCTGTCCTTGCATGCCTGCATGTGTGTGATCTGGTTCTGTGTATTGTGTGATTGATTGAATATGAGTATTTACAGTATATAAAAAAACAAGTTTAACATTTGTGGCAGGGATCAGGACCTTGTAACAGCATTATTAGCTCCAGCATCATCAGCTTCTTCCCTCATACAATATGAATAATCAACATAGCACAAAACCCCACAGGTGAAATAGCTGTGAACGTGATGTATGCTTAAAGTAGCAACATTTAATATTTTCTGCATTATATTTTTCATTGGATTTTACACTCTCGCTTAACGTTATGAATTCCTCTGTTTCAATGCCAGTGTTAGAGTATTAGTTGCAGCGTGAATGTTTTTGTAGTGTTTAAAATGACAAAAGTATGCACAGATGTACATTAACAAAAAAAAATCTAAATTTTAAGTGACTATAAAGACTGATGAAAATGTCATGTTTTTAAAAAAATATATATCCAGTATTGGAAATTTTTCACACCAGTTGTAGTCTTCTTCAGCAACCCCCAGAATTCCTCAGTCCGAGCTGCTTCATGACCTTCATAAGGATGATGACTCACAAGTGGTGCAATCACTGAACTGGGTGTAAAGTAATCTATTTCCAGTATATAGTGAAAGGGTTTAAATCGATGCACTAGGTGGGAGTTTTTCCCAGACTTAATTTATAGATGTTGACAGTGTTCCACTAACACCCATCCCCCACCATATTGCCTAGTTAAAAGAACCAGCTGAAGGGAGTCATAAACCCATGATATTATGTGGTAATAGGATTATAGTGACTGGCTGGCTGTCCGGAAGTGGAGAATTAGTTAATCCAAAACATGTTGATGTAATAGCACCTTTGTTTGCAGCTTTATTTGTTAATTAGAACGCTCAGCATTCTTCCCTTGACACGTTAAGTGGAAGACCTCTCAAGTTGACCACAGTCTTTACTGTGATGCCGGTTGACTTTCGATTTGGTACACGTTCAGAATAAAATTTAGCTGTGAGAAAAACTCGCTTTGGCGTATTTGTTACAGAGTCCATTATGTCGCCGTGATAAACCCTTTATCAACTATAAAATCAAAGTTGGGCAGCCCGTTGGTCAAGTGGGTAGCGCGTCAACCTCACAGTGCAGAGTTACCCGGTTCGATTCCAGCTCCGGCCTTCCTCTATGGAGTTTGCATGTTCTCCCCGTGCCTGCGTGGGTTTTCTCCGGGTACTTTCCACCCACATTCCAAAACACATGCATGGCAGGTTGATAGGGGACTCCAAATTGTCTCTCTGTGTTATTGTCAACGTGAATGGTTATTTGTCTGTGTGCCCTGCGATTGGCTGGCAACCGGTTCAGGTTGTCCCCGGCCTACTGCCCGAAGATGGCTGGGATAGGCTCAAGCACGCCCCGCGACGCTTGTGAGGATAAAGCGAATCAGAAAATGGATGAATGGATGGGTGGAAAATCAAAGTTTTAAGTGACAAATTTTAACATGATTAATTGGCATACAAGTACAAGGAGTCTAATATTATGGCGGGGGAGGAGCTGTAAAAACAGGTCATAGTATTAAAACATTCAGTGATGCTGTTCTTGTGAAGACAAATCAGGGAAAGTGTTGGCTAAAATTTAGACAAGTTAGCTGAAGGTTGATTTGAGTTTTTTTTTAATAAATTTGGAATGATTTCTTTTTGATTGGTGATATGGCATTGCTGTTGGAAGACAAATGTGAAAAAAATGAGGAATTAGTACTGGTATTTTAGTTTACTTGGTATGGACAGTACGTGCACCATCATATCATTCAGAGTTTTATAGTGTATGTACTATATGTGTACAGTATTTCATAAACTGAAACCCTGCCATTGCCGTCCGTGTATGTACGGCCAAATTGTTGTGTATAATTTTCCATGTGCTTGGCCTGAAACCCCCGTTGTTCTGTTTTTTTGTTTTGGCTTCGTGTGGTCATGTACTCCATAATTCGATCATTACCCTTGAAGTCTGTGTTTTGGCAATGGACATATTTTGTAATGACCTTCATGTTCTCTTTACTGACTTGCAATCTATCTGTCTTCCCACGGTAAAGCACTTGATGCATCCTTTTTTCATCGACTGTTCTCTCATAGAGAGCAAAATAACTGCATTGCTTTGGTTTGGAAAGGCATCAAACAATTTAGAAATCGGCCAGTGTCATTTTAAGAACTCTTTGTATGAGCAGCACACGGATGACTCATGACAACAGGCTGAACATTTTAAGCTCGTAATGCATACCCATATCACAACCTAAATGTATCCCACCAAACATTATCCAGTTGTTTAATGTAGTAGAAATTTGTACAATGAAACAATGAACTTTGTATCATTGTTTGACAAAAGGATCGGGAGTTTGAATGTCCCTGGGCAAGACACTGAACACTAAGACATAAAGAGGTTTCTTCCCTATTTCCAGACAAGTTTACTTTCTAGTTTCTAGGTCAAACAGGGTATGGCGACTTGCATTTAATTGCTCTTCCAGATTGACATGACACGGCACTTTCCTTTGTCGTGTCACTTCTGTCTGTGTTACTGGGCTTCTGCTTTGACAACATACTGTAGCACTCCTTTACTTTACAATGCAACTAAAAGATATTTTGAAACAAGACCACTAGTTGATTTTACTTGGTGACTGGCAAGTTCAGAACACGGGGCAATAGTCGAGGGAAGACAGGGGTAATCACCAGTGCAGTGAAATTGGATCCGTGCGCGGTGACAACATGGCCATTCATTATTCATCATAGCAGGGGGCCAGTCTCAGATCAATGGTGGCTAGATCCCATCCAAAGCTAAACTCTTGAGTGCTCCAGCAAGCAGTGAACTAAAACATATTTTTCTTAGTTTATCAAAGACGAAGCCTTCACCTTTGCTTATTTGAGCAATTCTTGACAGCAGCTTTTGTGGGACCTTAAAAAGCATACTCTCTGAATGTGCACAGATTTGTGATGACTGCCTGGCGCGGTGATTCATGTTGACAGTTTTGTCTAAAGGGAGTCAATAATCTTAGCCAGTGAACAGGCCCAGCTGGAGAGTTACTGACAATTAAAGCGGTGTAGGAGGATGCTGAGTGTCTGAAGTTTTCTGGGCTTCTCATGTTACATGTCTGCATTTCGGAGAGACTCGCGAATCACCAACTAAGTCGATAGTGGAAACCACCCATTTTGCGTGCCGGGGCTTATCACAAAGTCGTAATCGCAGGAGCTCCCCATTCCACTCTACACTGGTTGTTACTCAAAAGTCTTGCAAGTACACTACAATAAATGATATACATTTTGTAGTATATATATATATATATATATATATGTGTGTGTGTGTGTGTGTGTGTGTGTGTGTGTGTGTGTGTGTGTGTGTGTGTGTGTGTGTGTGTATGTATGTGGCACAAATTACCCCAAGAGGACTGAAGGAAGGGAGGCAAAAGCAAGAGGAGGGTATTTTCTATGATTCAATTCTAGACGTCACCATCACTGTCTACAGGGAAGCGTTATCAGGTTAGCTTTTAGGGTTGGGCTTCCATGAGAGGCAAACGGACCTTTTGTAATATTGATTCCCAGAAATCATGGCTACATTTCAAATCCATTTTAAGCAAGAGCACTCAGAGTACTGCAGAGGTGGAGCATGGGCCAAGAAACTCAGTCATACATTTTAGCCCTCGAACATGTCGCCTTCCACCAAGTATTCGTGTTTAAAAAATAAGTACCTTTTCCCCGATCTACAACTAAATAGGATTGGTTTTGTATGTAGTGCATGTCTCGTTTTTTTTAATGCATTGGACGACTTATTGGCAACAATTTCATCATCCATCCTATCATTGTTTCATATGCACACATCAAAAATTAGGCTGGGCAGTGGCAAACTGCATCCTCATCTTTTGAGCAGTCAAAATACGATTATTTTCTGTGACTCATCCATTGCTTGTTTGCACACTAGAATCAATGTGTACAGTTCATCGTATCTTTCTACGGCACCACAACCTCACTCATGTCAGAGGCATCTCCCACTTTCCACCTGTAAAATATTCAGTTTTGCCTACCTATCCTCAATACACTGCCATATGTTTCAAATATCCATGAAGTTATACAATAAAACAGCTTTAAGATGCAACACTTGATGATATTAAAGACTGAACCAAGTTTTATTTATTTATTTCCGAGACATTTTAGCCAACTTGTGTTTCTATGTTTGTAGTAAGATTAGTAACATTTGTTGAGTTATGTGATGCAGCAATCTAGCTTCGAGTCCAAAGCGGTGGTTGTTGCAATGATGTTCAGGTTTCTGAACACAATGTATCCAAATTGAAATCCTGGTTGAGGGATGTCTCCCTTCGTATGTAATCCATTTAACATGTGAACTAAAGACAAATGGCTGCTGCATTTTGACAGACAAGTGACATATAGCAGATGCTGTTGTTACTGGTGAGGATCATTTATTGCAGTTTACGCACTTCCTCCTGTAATGGAGGTTTGTTGACTTATTTCTACAATCCAGTAATCAATTTTCTTTTAGATACATTTGGTGGATTTAGAGACGATCAACAAATTAATCAACATGAGCTCTCGAGACGACTTAGAACGCCGGGTCTCTAGCAGCTGGTATTCATATACATTTGCGAGTCTCATGTTACCGAGGAGCATTGAAATCTTTTAAATGATAACACTATTGTGGAAAATTGTTGACTATCAAACTTGTGAATTTCACCAAATGGAACTGTTGCGCACTCAGTGCATAAACAAAGTAGTTATTCATAAGAATAGGTCTACAAGGCACATGAAGACACATGGCCAGATGAATGGAAATGGAATCTCATTAGCCCGGGACTTGTCAAACCATGCATAAATTAGATGTCATCGTATTAATTCTTTAGTGTTGTCAAACTAATGAGATGGTTCCACATTTTTAGATATGTGCTTCATTATGGCATTGATGGGAATGTGTGCTGAACAGCAGGTCACAGTATCAGGCTTCTGCGAGCCGCTTGGGGAAGCACATTTTTCTGTTTGGTGCAGCGAAAGTCTGAAGGCAAAACATGAAAATTTAAAATTATAATTATCAGAAGCAAAATTGTCATCATTATAAATCACAGTGGGGTTGAGATAAATATAAACAGGAGCAAGTGACAGAACAGTTTACACTCAAGAGAGATAAAAGGCAATACTGAGCGATTTAAATTTTACCGCCATTTACCAGTTGGCAGAGCTAGCCTTCAAGAACTGCGTCAGATTTGTCTCTGTGGCCCATTGAATAACTTCTCTCTGTCACATAGAGCGAGGCCTGAGCATCATTTCTGATTAGCTGTCAGTTGTTACATTTCTCCTGATTACTGTAATTATTTATAATTACCTGCCAGGTCATGCACCCATTTTAAAGGTAAAACAAAACATTCCATGTGTTTTTTTTTTCTTTAGATCAGGAAAAAAAAACAGTTACTTACTTACCGTCTTCATGTGTATCATGATTATTGAAATACTGATATTTTATAATGGTGCTATTTGAACTGTCACAAACATTGCAAGTGTATTATTGTGCCACTGCAGGGGAGAATTGACATGACATGACATTTTAAGGTCGTGCACCATAGTATGACCTATTTCTCAGGCATACATACACGCTGTATATTTTATCCATGGAGTGCCTACATTCATGGATCCATAATATTGTCACTGAAGCAAACTGACTATTAGATAAAAGAGAAGTCACGCCACAAGCTTGTTATTTATGAATGACCAAGTACACTTATGTAGTGCGCAAAACATAGTGGCAGAACAGTACTATCAGTACATTTTAAGAATAATCATTAACCTAATGGAAGGGCGACTTTAATAACATCATATCACATGATCATTATATCATAGTTTTTTACTATGGATTTTAAAGATTGGTATTTGAACATAACAGCAGATTCGTCCATCACCATTGGTTGATTTGGAATATAGAATTCCATTTCCCATAGTCGTCAGGTCAAGTTTTGTTAGAAAATGGCAGTTGTTTGTTTACATTCAACCATTAGCTAAAGTTCACACAAGTGATGTCATGTCCATTATGATTGTGTACCGCGTTCCAGTACAGGACCAAGTCTAGGTCTCAAAATACCGTTTGTTTTGAAAGGTAAGCATGACGTCTTTGTACCTGTTTCGTGGATATTTTTGTTCTTGATGTTCTTGGTATTGAAATGTTTACTGTTTGAGGGGCTGTGATATGTTTAAAAATCACTTTGTGTCGTATTATTCTATTTTGGGGAATGATTTATTCATTTTCATGCATAGTTGTCCTTGAATAGGATCGAAATAGTTACATTCATGGTGCAGACAAATATTAGCGTCTTGATTTTAATAGAAGGTGCCTGATATAGAATGTCAAATGAGTGGGAATAAAAACTCTAGACCTCCTATACACGGTATGCCAACGTGGCATACTCCCCTGGGCAGTGTCACCACAACTTAGACCTTGAGACCACCAACACGCTTTTGGTGGAAGCAGGCGCCCAACAGAAAGACTGTGACAGTTTGGTGAAAGACACAGAGTGGGCATTGCAGGATGTTTGCAATGTCACTGATTGGTTTTATGTTTGTATAGGTTATTGTTTTCCTAAAGAAATGCAATACTGCTCGATGTGCAATACTATTTTGTTGCTGGAACTACTACCTCAAGACCTCAAGTGCTAAGCTTACAGCCCCACTCTCATCCTATGTTTTTCCTTTGCTCTGACTGTCTCTATATAATAAGCCTCTCTCGCACAACTCTAATTGCCCCACAGGGATAAATAAAGTTTTCTGAATCTGAAGAATATTCATGTATTTGTTTATCAATATGTTCCATGTTAAATTTTATTTATGTATCGAACTTCGTTTCAGCTGCAGTTCTTTTTTTTTTTTTTTAAGTACAGTGAAACTCCTCTACAACGAAATCATGTTTGCAGCAAGAAATTTTTCACAACAGGGGGTTTTTCACTGTAGCAAATTTGATCTTAGATGTAAGCACACACACACACCCACACACACAAACGTATGTGTACACGCACACACAAACGTTTGTGTACTCTATTTTTATTCCAATAGTACATAAGTATGAGCACACACTTATTTGACACTTCATATTGTCAGTGTAGAAAGAAAAAAAGGGAAAGAAATTGCGAAATTTACGATCAGCATTCACTTTCACTTACATCAATTTCTTGGAAAATGTCTTTTATTTTGCTTGCTCCGTCTTTCATTTTGATCACTTTTACCCTCTCTTCCAGCATCAGAGCTCTTCTTGTCTTAGCTGCTTGACATCAAAAGGTCCGTTTTGTAGCCATTTTAGCAATGCAACGTCCATCCTCGTCTGAATCTAACAACAACAAATACTTCCTGGACCCGGTGGCTTTTCTTTCCACCATCTCACTGTCTCGAACTCGACCTCCCCTCGATCACCACCCAAGACAGCGTTGCTCAGCTGATGTCATGCAATGAACTTTTCAGCCAGCCACGGAACGCTTCGTAGTCCTCGATGGCCATAGTTAGCTCTCGAAGACTAAAAACCTTA